AACAGTAAATAAAACACAGGAAACATTCACTGATTTTAATAGATTTTTCGAGATACAATGAATATACAAAACAAGAGAACATACAATATTAAATTATTAAAGCTGTAGAAGCGTACTACAGATGAGAGAGAGAGAGAGAGAGAGAGAGAGAGAGAGAGAGAGAGAGAGAGAGAGAGAGAGAGAGAGAGAGAGAGAGAGAGAGAGAGAGAGAGAGAGAGAGAGAGAGAGAGAGAGAGAGAGAGAGAGAGAGAGAGATAAAGAGAGAGAGTGTGGGTTGAGGAGAGAGAGATTTATAACATCGTTTCCCTACTGTCACTATTAGTGTAAATAACCAACATCAGGCGCAGATTTGCTCTTACCACACACACGCGGGCATCTGGTACATATAATACTCCACAGAAGGACCCCGCTGTCTGTCCCTTCTACCCTCCCCAACAGCAGCGAAACACAGTTGTCTGAACGGAACGTAAAAGAGGTTACCAAGATGCTTTGAGTTGACGGAGGTCCCTGGTTAATGATATGTCCATTATCTCAGGGCCAGCACAGATAGCCATATCCTCCCACGCACTCCACCAGCCTCAGCTGATATGTGGTGTGTGTGTGTGTGTGTGTATGTGTGTGTGTGTTGGGGCTCGTGTGTGGGGGAGGCCTGGAGTTAGAGTGCGTTACTCTCTCATCTTCACAGGTACAACGTCTGGTGATTTTCCAAGTCTTGCTGATTTAGGTGTGTGTGTGTGTGTGTGTGTGTGTGTGTGTGTGTGTGTGTGTGTGTGTGTGTGTGTGTGTGTGTGTGTGTGTGTATGTAGAGGATGTGACAAAAGAAAAGAAGCTGAAAACGTCGCTTTTATTTGGGTGACTGCTCTAATATCAACTCTGCTGGAACTCGCTTAGATTGTTGACAATTAAGAGACTGTATTCACGGCTTTTTCCACATCGAAAATATGTGTCTATTGGATATCAATAAAAAAAATCAATGCAGGTTATTTTATCTGGCGTGTAAATTTTGGACGAAGAAATAGTTTACTGGAACTTTTACAAATCTGAGTTTACGAATGTCTTATACAGATAACTGATTTATAAAAGTCCAAATTATGACAATTATTTCAACACAATTTTACCTCACTAGCGACCACGCTTGATGTGGAGCCCGAACTAAATAAGCGAACGAGGACCATGGAACCTTAACGAAATAAATGCCCTAAAATTTTTTTGCAATAAAAAAGTCTAATTAGCAATAAAGGATGCACATTATTTTTAAATAAAATAGGTAATGAACTTTGAGAAAGTAGAGAAGATGTTAGCAGAGCGAGAAAAATAAAAAGTTCTGAAAATGAAAGATGGAAAAACCTTTTTAAAGGGAACAATGTATTTTTAGGGACACATTTTTTTTTAAGAACAGGAAATATTGCACCTGAATGAAAACGGTTGATACTCATAAGGGTTGTTGTTGTTGTTGTTTAAGATTGGAACAAAAAGTTCCAAGTAGCACGGGCTATGGTGAGCCCGTAATACATAGGGGGGGAAGGAGTGAGAGAAAGTCGTGTTTAAGATCTGCATACCACCAACACACTGACGGAGAGAGGCTATATCTTATTAGTACCACAATATGATAATAATTTATTACAATACCGATATTAATATAGAATTATTACATCTAACATTACTACGGTTACGTAAGATCGGAAAATATTGCACATTATTTACGATAATATAAATCTATTTTTTTATTTTTGTGCCAAAACATAAAATAAAATAAAATAACATCAATACACAGGCGATGTATCTACGCCATCTTCAAGTGTATCGCAACACTGCTGTATTCTATAAAGTCGATCCACGCTACAATACACAGCTATTGTGTCTATAATGCCTATATGTGACACAAAACAGGTATTGTGCTTTGATACAGATGTAGCTGTGGATTATATCTGTGTATTTATGATATACAAATATATCCACGTTTCTGCCGGGTTAGATAGAATACAGCCCGGCGAAGCCACAGTGTTTGCCTGAGCACCGCTGAGCGGATTTTTAAACATAATTTTTTTGACTCGCAATGTTAACTACACCGGGAAATGCGCTCCCGAACTGTGTCGTCGTCTTCGTAAGACGCGCGGCCGACGCTGAGATGAAGCTGCTATTGCTGCCTCACTGCAGGCTGGTGTGGCCAGCCCTGTAGAGGGCCCTGGTGCGGCCGGCCCCGTAGAGGGCCCTGGTGCAGCCGGCCCCGTAGAAGGCCCTGGTGCAGCCGGCCCCGTAGACGGCCCTGGTGCGGCCGGCCCCATAGACGACCCTGGTGCGGCCGGCCCCATAAACGGCCCTGGTGCGGCCGGCTCCGTAGACGACCCTGGTGCAGCCGGCCGCATAGACGGCCCTGGTGCGGCCAGCTCCATAGAGGGCCCTGGTGCGGCCGGCTCCATAGCGGGCCCTGGTGCAGCCGACCGCATAGAGGGCCCTGGCGGACCCGTTTAAGCGCGAAGGGAGATATAGTCACCGCCGACCTATCACTGGACGACCGAGGGCGGTGACGCGGAGGTCAGCGTGGGCGTTAACGAGGGCGTGAGGGCTGGGGAAGAGAGGTACTTGGCCTCAGGCCGCACCAGAAAGTAGGAGAGGGCGGCCCTCGGGTCGTGAGGGTAGCCCACTGAGCCCCCCGACGGGTACACGCAGCTGCTGAAGTAATTTCCTGTTTCGGGAAGAGAAGAAAGGTGAAGGAGGCGCTATCGAGACACACATTAATATATGACCAGTCTAGGTGACGCAGGCTTCCAGAGTTACCCCCAGCAGTAACTCTGGGGGTAACTATATATATATATATATATATATATATATATATATATATATATATATATATATATATATATATATATATATATATATATATATATACACACACAAATAAATAAATAAGTGTGCGTTTTCATCCTATGTTGTTATGTCTGTGAGAAGACATTTTTATTACTTATTAAATAAATACTATATTTAATAACTTTAACATTACTAAACTATAAAAAATATTAGACATGATTGGTAAGGTAATTTAATATAATTACAATTATCGACCGCTTATGTAAGACACCTCAATACTACAGTCACCGGGAGTCTCGAGGGGAATCGACTGAAATACAGCAGCTACAGTAAGACAGATTCTCCTACTGAACCTCCCGGATGCTGTATCTCACGAGAGACTGTAGCCTGAAAGTCGCTAGAAGCGCGCAGGAAAAGCCAAGATCTGCGGATCAGAAATATTTCAGAGTAAACTGCAAATGCCCCGTTTTGCCTAGGTTTACACTTCCCTTTAATATTGTTTTCCTCTCTGACATTATTCCCTTCATGATAATATTCTCCTTGACAATATTCATCCTAATAATATTTCCCCCTTTATAATATACCTCGCCTGATATTTCCACTTTGGTAATATTCTCTCCTTGTAATATTCCCCCTTTGATAATATTACTCATTTGACAATGAACAAATCCACAAGGGCCGTGACGAGGGTTCGAACCAACGTCCGAGAAGATCCTTGACGCTGCCTTAATCGACTGAGCTACGACATGGTCAAAAAGAATTGTTCATTTGATGCCTCGTGCTATTGTGATTTCTCATTTGACAATATTCTCTCTGATAGTATATATTCCTGATAATATTTTATTTTGATAATATCTGCCCCCTCTTATAATATTCCCACTTGATAATATTCACCTCTGAGAATATTATCGAAGCTGAAACTCGAGATTTCGCTGTTTGTGGAACATTTGTCGATATTCCTTGATATTTATAATAGCAAAATTTACCAAGTGAAATTCTGGATGCATGTCAGTGAACGCAATATGCAAATTTTCCGAAGGACAGTTTATTGGTACGTTCAACAATATACTCTTAAGCTGTTCGATGAAAGACAACTTGAGGACCAACGGATTATTTTTGGAGTTTTCTCGATTTTTTTAGATATATATTCTTTTTTATATTAGGTGGCACGTGTCTAATGCGTTTATTGATCTCATTTTTGCACTGTTTTATTTCCTCGTTCAATGAAAACAAAATTACGTATAACTTGTCCGTCCATGTTAGCATTTATTTAAATCAATATTGCTTTTCCGAGAGAGCTTGTGTCGTCGTGAAAATATTATATTGCTAAAGCCACAGAGTTCATTCAGTATTCCGAACGTTACAGCGTTTATTCGGTATGCTGAAGGCACAGAGTTCACTCAGTATGCTGAAAGTATAAGGTTCGTTCAGTGTGCTACAAGTGTAGATTTCATTCAGTGAGCTACAAGTATAAAGTTCATTCAGTGTGTTACAAGTATAGAGTTCATTCAGTGAGCTACAAGTATAAAGTTCATTCAGTGTGCTACAAGTGTAGATTTCATTCAGTGAGCTACAAGTATAGAGTTCATTCAGTGAGCTACAAGTATAAAGTTCATTCAGTGTGCTACAAGTGTAGATTTCATTCAGTGAGCTACAAGTATAAAGTTCATTCAGTGTGCTACAAGTATAGAGTTCATTCAGTGAGCTACAAGTATAAAGTTCATTCAGTGAGCTACAAGTATAGAGTTCATTCAGTGAGCTACAAGTATAGAGTTCATTCAGTGTGCTACAAGTACTGGCTCTGAGATCAAGAAGATATCAAGAACTATGCAGCTCCCCAGACGCGGTGAACAAATAACAATATTATCCTAACAGAAGGTCATTTAAGCATCAGTCTGGAGACCCCCAAAAATTTAACAAATGTTCACTTCAACCACTCGAACTTATCAACCAGAATGTTGAGCAAAAAGGGCGAGAATAGCTTGAGCAGTCTCATCCCATAGTGAGTATTTATGTCTCAGTCAAACTACAGATTCAACCTCCTTCCCTCTCAACATCTTTACTACAAATAATTGTAGGGGAAAAAATGCCGTTGAAGCTTCCTATAATGGTGAAGAGGCTGGTTGAGAGGTGGTGGCTGTGACATGAGATGGTTGTGGTATGTGTGTGTGTGTGGATGTGAGGTATGTGTGTGTGTGGTTGTAAGAGGTGGTGGTCTGGTGTGGTAGTGGGAAGGGTTGTGGTGAGGTGTGATGTTATTACGAGTTGTGACGAGGATGAGTGAGGTAGCCAGTTATTATGTGATGATGCTGATGGTGTGGAAGATAGACAGTCATATGTGTAAATTCTATTTAGAATCAACAAAACAAAATGACTACAATAATAATATTAATAATAACATTGCGATCTAGCCCTTCAATAATAATTAAACGGCGGCTTGGAGTTACAAATTAATAATAATATTATAAATTTAGTGATAGGCATGTAGCCATTCATCCTCTGGAGGGTTAATAACGCCTCGTCGCGAGCTTACTGACCAACCATCTTACATACACTTCACCGCGTGAACTTAACCCACCACTAACGTAAACTCACAAGGAATATATATTGATAAAAGGGATATATATCCCTGTGTATATATATCCCTCGGGATAATAATAATAATAATGACAATTATATAAAAATAAATCGCGGCAACTGCGGACTGGAAGTGTGTTTACAAACGACACTTGTTAGACCAGCTGCTCGTTCCCCTATGTTTCACCGGGCGAGCTTTACAGGTGTGTCCACTCCTTTGCACGCCTTTGCTGAGTCGTGAGTGGGTGGTGTTGGTCCCTATGGTAGTGAGTGGTGAGGTGGGGTAGTGAGGGAGGGGCGGCGAGGGGCGGCGAGGTGTGGTAGGAGGTAGCGATTAGGGGGTGCTAGGTGTGGTAGGAGGTAGCGATTGGGGGGTGCTAGGTGTGGTAGGAGGTAGCGATTGGGGGGTGCTAGGTGTGGTAGGAGGTAGCGATTGGGGGGTGCTAGGTGTGGTAGGAGGTAGCGATTGGGGGGTGCTAGGTGTGGTAGGAGGTAGCGATTGGGGGGTGCTAGGTGTGGTAGTGAGGGGGTTGTGGTAGAAATTAGCGAAGGGGTGAGAAGTGTAGTAGTGACAGGCGGTGATGAGGTGTGAGTTGGGGGGAGGATGAGGTGCCTGAGTGGCAGTGAGGTGTGATTGTGAGGAGACTGGTGCAGAGGCTGTGAAAGGAGATGGTTGTGAGGGGTGTGAGTGTGTGGTTAAGAGAGGTGATGGTTAGTTGTTGTATGAGGGGGGGGGGTGTGGCAGTGAGGTATGGTGATGTTATTACGAGTTGTGGTGCGGACGAATGAGGTAGTGTGAGTTATAATAAGAATGGTGCTGGGATGTGGTGATGTTATTGTAGGAGACAGTGTGTGTGTTGAACAATGGGGTGAGTCTGTAATGTTTATGGTGACAGGGAGTCAGATAAGAAATAGTGACATCACGAACTCACATTGCAATGGCGTAAATAATTCCGGTGATGTGTATATCTGTAATAGTGTCGTGATATAGTGATAAAGTTGAAAATACTGTGATAAAGATAGAATTGTACAGTGCTTTGCGGAACATCAAACCCATTCCTAGTGTTATCCAGATAATATAGTGACAATAGTGGAAATTGTGTGGTGGTGTATTTTATATATATAAATATATCAAGTTTGAAACAAAATATAATTATAGTGACGATTAAGCAGTGATATATTGATATATGTACAAACCACTATAATGAACCGCTGAAAATATGGTGACTATCATTAATACACAAAAGTGCTCCCATAGTGATGGTTTAGGGGCTTAGTGAATATTCTGGTGATGTACTGTATACCCAGATGCTTTTAGTGATACATTTTAGTGATATCTTGTGCTTTGCCCGGACGTTGTTAGTGATACATTTTAGTGATATCTTGTGCTTTGCCCGGACGTTGTTAGTGATACATTTTAGTGATATCTTGTGCTTTGCCCGGACGTTGTTAGTGATACATTTTAGTGATATCTTGTGCTTTGCCCGGACGTTGTTAGTGATACATTCTAGTGATATCTTGTGCTTTGCCCGGACGTTGTTAGTGATACATTCTAGTGATATCTTGTGCTTTGCCCGGACGTTGTTAGTGGTACATTCTAGTGATATCTTGTGCTTTGCCCGGACGTTGTTAGTAATACATTCTAGTGATATCTTGTGCTTTGCCCGGACGTTGTTAGTGATACATTCTAGTGATATCTTGTGCTTTGCCCGGACGTTGTTAGTGATACATTCTAGTGATATCTTGTGCTTTGCCCGGACGTTGTTAGTGATACATTCTAATGATATACTGTGTACTCGGATGTTTTTAGTGATTGACTTGAGTATAGTGATATGACAAATACCGTATAACGAGCGTATCCCAGTGACGTTACCATCGTAAGGGAATTATGCGAGTGGAAGCACGTTCATGGCTATGTTTAGAAAACACGTAACTATAGTGATCTTTGAAACATGCTGAAAATAAGACGAAAATGATTGTAAAGGGATTTTTAACCCTAATTAAATAAGTGGTTAGACAAAATAAACATTAACTCTTAAAGCTTTATAAAAAAAAGTGAGTTTTAAGGCTTAGCCATAATATAAGGGTTATTAGTTTAAGACAATATTGAGCAATATGGAGACTGCAAAAGACATTGCGGTCCTTACAAGCAGATGGCATACTGGATACAGTGAACCTACACCATCTCGCTGAGCAGTGAAGGTAAGTACAACACTTATGTGCACACAACTTAGTACAGGAGGAACCTGTCTCGTGTTAGCTGGCTTTAGAGCTTTCCCTTCCCATAGCTCGGCTTAAGACTTGTCTTTGTGTTTGCAGCTAAATTTCAGCGAGCTAATGTGATTAGGTGACTGAGTATACATGTTGTGTCTAAACATACACATCAAAAAATGAAGAAAAAAAAAAGTCTAGGGCGATCCAGGGCGGACGTTTCGGTCCATCCTGGATCGTTATCAAGTCGGGTAATAGAAAGAGAGTAGGAGAGAGACATAAATGAAGTAAGAGGGTGAGATGCATGTAAGAAAAAAAAATAGGTCAGAATAAATTGAAATGTAAGAATAAGATGAAAATTAAGATAACACTAAGCTAAACTGCATCGTTACAGCATCCCTGTTCTCTTGATCTGCCACAACGTACAAAATAGTGCTAACCTAACCAGAAATGCACGAACTCAAGCACCCCACCTAACCTAAGATACCGATGCAACCGAAAAAAGTGGATATTAGTGAGCCACTATTTTTCAAAGTGGCTCATAGGATGACGCCAACAGGTCGTTATAAAGACTAATCATCGTTCGTGAGCGATAGCCCATAACTGTGAACGCCGTGACCTTCCCTGGGTTACTATTGGTCGGTGAAGACGTTAAGGAGTGTATACGAGGACCGGTTGGTAATATTAGCGTCAGACTCTTTACGTTCCGAGCCAACGCACTTCTAGTCGTAGGTTACGTTTGTAACGTTAGCTATATTCAGAATCTATAGCGGCTGGCAACACTATACGAGATTCTTCAAGTATCGTAGAGATTAGTAATGCTGTCTGAAGTGCTTTAATAATATATCTTATTTTATTTGTGCATTGGTCTAAGTATTTTTTATGATTTGCGGGCCGAATGCAAGTGTTCCTTGGTATTAAATTGTATCGCAGTATCGGCTATGAACGTATCTAAGGAGCGCAGTGGTGAGCCGAGTGATTCCCGGACCGATTGGTGGCAATGTCGTGAATCTGAAAATAATTCGTATAATTATAAACAGGTTGAGAAGAGTGTGCTACCTACTGGCCATATCTGCTGCTGAAGCGACGACGGAGTGGTGCGGGGCCGTGGAGTAGTAGATGCTGGTGGCGAGGGCGGCGGCGGGGTAGAAAGGGTGCGGGAGGCGCAGTGCGCCTGGCGGGGAGGGCGCGGGGCACCTGTCGCTGGGGGAGTCAGGCGCGGCTTCAGAGAGCTTCCTCTCTCCATACCTGACGAAAGCTCTCGAATCATCGCTGTTGGACACGTCTGGGTCTTCATCACGGCCGCCAACGTCACAAATTCTCCGCATTTCGCCGTCTCCAGCCGCTGGATCGGTCTCGTTTGGGCTTCTCTCAGGACTGGACTCCCGAGAACGACTGTCGACATCAATCCTCGGGCTGAACGGCGAAGGCGACCGGCTTCTGGAGAGAGGCGGAGAGACGGCCAGCTCCTCCCTCATCCTCCTCTCCCTCTCCAGCGTGTGGAGCTGCTGGAACCGGAGATGTTCCAGCTCGCGCGCCGACAGCCCCAGGTAGGGGTTATCCAGCGGCAGTCTGGAAAGAACACTTGTGGCGGAGACCTCGGACGGGTACTTGGGCACCGGGGACGCCAGGCTGGAGGGCGCCAAGTTCGGAGACGCCGGATGGGGGATCGGAGAGGATAGACCGGAATGGTTGAGACTGGCGGTGACCCTCGATGCGGGCAATCCGGAGGACGAGGCCAGGTGAGGCGAGGTCAAGTGAGACGGGAGTGGCGACGACGATAACCTGGATAGACTGAAGACATCGTGAGGCGTGAGCCTGGAGAAGAGGGAAGACTCGACGGAGGCCATCTTGGAGAGTGTCATGGCCTCCGAGGTGGGCAGCTTGGAGAGTGCCAGAGCGTCGGGGGAGGTCATCCTGGAGAGGACGCCGGGGTCCATGTGCGGGTAGTGGAGACCAGAGAGGTGGGGGGAGAAGAGGGGCGGGGGAGGCAGCAGGGAGCGGGCCAGGTCCCCGTGAGTCTTGTCGTGTGGCCCCGCGTGGCCCCCGGGGGGCGCCAACAGGTGGGGCGGAGGGTAGAAGGGGCGCAGACCCTCAAGCATGGGCGGGAACATTGGCAGCTGGAAGTGGTATCTGAAGAAAAACAAAAGACTGTAACCTTTTAGGGCACGTCAATACCCTACTCCTAACATGGCGAATATATCAATTTTTTGTTTAATTTTGCCCCGAGGGGGCGAGTGTATTGGGCAGCGTTCAATATATCATGAGATTCAGTTATAAAAGGTGTGTTTTTTTTGGCACATGAGGAACGACCAGGACCCACCTGCTGTCCTTCTTGGCCAGACTCTTGGCCTTACGCCTGGGACGGTACTTGTAGTCAGGGTGTTCCTTCATGTGGAGCGCCCTGCCCGGGGGTACAGAGAACAACAGTCAGCGCCTCATAGTCCACATTGTATAGCGGGGCAAGGGTGGGTGTGTGTGTGTGTGTGTGTGTGTGTGTGTGTGTGTGTGTGTGTGTGTGTGTGTGTGTGTGTGTGTGTGTGTGTGTGTGTGTGTGTGGAAACAGGGAGAGGATAAAAAAAAAAACATACATGAATGAAACTTTTCGAAAATTGCAAGTTTTTCGTCTTTTAAAACTAAAATGCAATATAAATAAACCATAAACTACCTAGAGAACTCTTCAGTATAATCTCTCTCTACAACATCCTCTTAGCGACAGGGAGAGTAGGGGATGGCACGGGGGTTTAAACTTTAAACAAACCAACAACAGACGAATCGCCCCTCCTCGCTAACCCCCCCCCCTCTCCATGAAAACACAAACTGGCGAGGATTTCAACAAAAGTCACATATACAAACACAAAACAACTAACTACGTTCGCTTAGGGGGAGCAGCTGTAGGCAGAGCCTCGAGTGGACACGGACAAGGACGAGCAGAGGGGGGGGGGTCACGTACAAGGACGAGCAGGAAGGGTCACGGTCAAGGACGAGCAGAAGGGACACGTACAAGGACGAGCAGGAGGGCTCACGGTCAAGGACGAGCAGAGGGGTGGGGTCACGGACAAGGACGAGCAGAGGGGGGGGGGTGTCACGTACAAGGACGAGCAGAGGGGGGACACGGACAAGGACGAGCAGGAGCGGTCACGGACAAGGAGAATAACTCGCACATTATCCACCCGATGCCTCGCGGAATATGAATCCCTTCTCCCTGTCTCTTAGCAAGAGGGGAAAAAGGAAGATATATATACCAGGAGAGAGTGTAACTGTACTCACATAGTTGTGCTTGCAGGGGTTGAGCTTCGACTCTTTGGTCCCGCTTCTCAGCCACCAATCACCTGGAGTACTGGTTCCTGAGCCTATTGACCTCTATCATATCTACGTTTGAAACTGTGGCTCATTTGGAAACAAAGTTCCCCCCGCCCCCCCCCCCCCTGTGTCCTTGTGCGATTACCTTCCGTGCTAAATAATTTGTCTGTATCTACTCTGTTACTTCCTCTGAAAATATTGTAGGTGGTAATTATGTCTCTCTCTCCTAACTCGTCATTTCAGTGACGTGAGGTTTAATTTCAGTAGACTTTCCTCGTAGCTTATACCTTTCAGCTCAGGGACTATAGTCTGGTGGAATACCTCTGAACTTTTTTTCTAACTTTGTCTTGTGTTTGATTAGATACGAACTCCAGGCTGGAGCCGCATACACAAGGACTGGTCTGATATATGATGTATACAAGGATCTTTATCACAAGTTTCTAAAGGCAGTTCTTATGTTGGCCAGTTTCAGGTATGCCGCTGATGAAATCCTTTTCATGCAGGTTTTAGGGGACAGTTCCGGCGTGGTATCAACCCCCAGATCTTTCTCTCGTCCCAATACCTGAAGGAATTCTTCTCCCAAATGGTACCTTGTGTCCCGCCTTCTGCTCCCTACACTTATTTTAATCGCTTTATATTTGCTTGAGTAGACTCTAGTAGACATTTGCTGGACCATTCTTTCAGTCTGTCTAGGTCATCTTGTAGTCTCTTGCTATCCCTCTCTGTGTTAATTCTTCTAATAATTTTAGCATCAGCAAACATTGAGAGGAATGAATTACCTTCTGGAAGATAGTTAACGTATATCACAAACAGGATAGGTCCGAGTACAGAACCCTGTGGGACTCTGCAATATTTCTCCATTCTCAAGTCTCTTCCCTCACAGTAACTCTGTTATCTGTTGCTAAGGTACTCCTTTCTCCAATGAAGCATCTTCCCTATTATTCCTGCCTGTTTCTTCAACTTATGCAGCAGCCTCTTTTGAGGCACTGTATCAATAGTTTCAACAAGTAAATGCAGTCTGCCCACCCTTCTCTTTCTTGCTCAATGTTTCTCACCTGGTCATAGAACTCTGTTAAACCTGTGAGGCGCAATTTAATGCCTCCTGCCGGTTACCCCTTTTTTTTGTATATTGGAACTACATTAGCTGTCTTCCATATTTCTGGCAGGTCTCCTGTCTCCAGTGATTTACTTTACACTTTAGCGAGTGGAGTGCAAAGTGCTTCGGCACCTTCGTTAATATCCTCGGTCAGATTCTGTCAGGTCCATCAACGTTAGTCACTTCCAGTTCTAGTAAATAGCTCTTAACCTAATCTTTGGCAATTTCAAAATCTGCCAAGGCTGCTTTTTTTTATCCTCATTTCTCTTAAGTTTACGGACTTCTGCATACTCCCTCTTTTTTGTGTGTGTATGTGTGGGTGTGTGTGCGCGTGTGCGTGTGCGTGTGTGCGTGTGTGTGTGTGTGTGTGTGTGTGTGTGTGTGTGTGTGTGTGTGTGTGTGTGCGTGTGTGCGTGTGTGCGTGTGTTGGGGGCTGAACTGAAGGTAAAGATGGCTGTGGGCTCATCACTCGGCCCTTGTGTGTCATCTGGGTGTATTGTGGCCCATTTAGCTGCTATTGTCATCCCATTCCTTGCCCTTGTTTTATTTCCCCCCCGCCACTCACATCGGACTCGAGGAACATCTCCTCCTAAGGTCTTGCGTCGTCGATGGCACAGAGTAATTCTCGCCCGCAATAGCATACTAGAGTAGCATTATCTTGCCTCTGAATATCGGACCCGGGCCGGCTGAAAAGGAGAGTTAACGCCCGAGGCCTTTTGTGTTTGATTTACTCCCTAAAAAAATGGGGATTTCGCTTTTGTAAGCCTGATTTTATATTACTCTCTTGTCTCAGCAGAAGAAGTGGTGACAACGCGCACTTCGGACAATGTGCTGGACAAAGTGAGAAATCCTATGTTTACAGGTGGAATATCTTGACCGCCTGTCACAGCTGGCATGTCTTGACCGCCTGTGACAGCTGGCATGTCTTGACCGCCTGTGACAGCTGGCATGTCTTGACCGCCTGTGACAGCTGGCATGTCTTGACCGCCTGTGACAGCTGGCATGTCTTGACCACCTGTCACAGGTGGCATATCTTGACCGCCTGTTACAGGTGGCATATCTTCACCACCTGTCACAGCTGGCATGTCTTGACCGCCTGTTACAGGTGGCATATCTTGACCGCCTGTGACAGGTGGCATATCTTGACCGCCTGTTACAGGTGGCATATCTTGACCACCTGTCACAGCTGGCATATCTTGACCACCTGTCATTACAAATTGTTTCAGAATGTTCTTCCGCGAGATATTCCAGTGTGTGGCACGAGATCAAATTATACGCCTGTTACACAATATGTTTTAAACTGTTGATAAAATGCAATGAATTATGAAATAAAATATTGTGTGTGTGTGTGGATGTGTATGTGTGTTTGGGGGGGGGGGTGGATTATAAATGTATAATTAGCTATGTACAGTAACAATAGCAAATTAGCTCGCTATGGCCCTTTGTATATTTCATAATGAATGCTTTATGTGTGAATAAATAAAGGCATCTCAAGCAGAGGGGAGGGGGGGGGGGGCGGTAACAGTGTGGAACACTTTACAATATGCAGCCATTTAATGTCTCAGTTTGCTCTCTCTCTTTCTTTCTCCCTTTTTTTTGTTCTTTCTCTTCCTCTTTTTTTTAAACTGATACTAGGGTTCATTAGTATGAACTAGTATCTAGTATCCCACATCAGTCGGGATACCTAGTGAAACTGCAAGCAAGAGCTGGTATCCTACCTCAGCTCGTCTCTAGCCTGCCCCTAGAGACTCATTTTGTGAGATTATAATTGGAATTAAGAATATTATTTCAATCTGTGTAACAATCATATAAGGAACAGGATGAGCCAGAAGCCAACTATGTGCAGGCAGAACCTTCATGTGATCGGCTGACTTGATCGCCCGAGTATCAACCTTTTGAGCGAACAAGTTCCAGATTCGAGTCAGCTTAAGAGTACTAATGGAGTAATGTTCTTGAGAAAGGCAGTTCCAGTATGAGGCTGTTGATGGCAAAGCGGCTTGTGTTACGGGTGCCAACTACTGGTTGTCCACGAAGTTGGGTCAGGTGCAGAACTTTGAAAATGTTTGCCTTGTACGTAAGAGTTAGTCCACCAACAACACGATGTTGATGGAGGCTCTCTCTCTCTCTTTCTCTGTTTCTCTCTCTGTCTTTCTCTCTGCTTTCCAGAACTGTTTAAGGCACACACTAATACACTTCCACGCAAGCTGTTGTGGCGTGTGCAGACAATCTCTTTGACGGGTGAGCCTTACTGTTGTCTGGGCGGCCCCGAGCAAGGCCTTGACCTCTGCCGCTGGCGTCTTCTCCGGCGCACGTTCCTACCTTCGACGCAGGTTCGAATCCTTGTCACGGCCCTTGTGGATTTGTTCATTTGATGCATCACGTTAGTGTGATCTCTGTGTGTGTGATTCCTACCTTCACCTCATTGTTCACCCAACACTCAGTTCTCCGGGTGCGCATAACATCATCTGTTTTGTTTGTCGTGCTGTTCTTCACGCGAGTGAGTCTCGTCTCTTTCCCTGTTGTTCCGTTGTGGAGACAGTGTGAACAACTGGCCCGTTTGTTCTCGTTTGAGCAGCAGTTTGTTAATCTGTTATTACAACAAGGGCAAAAGAACCCAAACATGAAAGGGCAGAAGGCCAATTGGACCATGTATGACAGCTTTAATTATTGTACAACCAAAGTTATATATATATATATATATATATATATATATATATATATATATATATATATATATATATATATATATATATACATTTGGAGGCCTTGGAGCTTAGTAGAGGAAATACAGCCAAGCAGGAGCATACACACACACACACACACACACACACACACACACACACACACACACACACACACACACACACACACACACACACACACACACACACACACACAGTATACGTTCATCCCCATGCAACCCGCAACCAAAAAACAAAACAAATATAACACCACCACAACACCAGCCAACCATAACACCACAACACCACAACACCGCACCACAA